GAGAGAGAGAATTTTTTAATATTTATTTTTTTAAGTTTTCGGCAGACACAACATCTTTGTTTGTATGTGGTGCTGAGGATCGAACCCTGGCCGCACGTGTGCCAGGCGAGCACGCTACCGCTTGAGCCACATCCCCAGCCCCGAGAATGACTTTTTAAAAATTTTTTTTCAATCTCATGTGTGGTCGAAACTGGCATTCTTCCACATTGCTGGTCATTATACCAATTGGTATAGCACTTTGGGGCATAATTTGTCAATATGTACTTAAGACTTGCAGTGTTTGTATTCTAAATTTTGTCTGGTTAGTCTACTTCTAGAAATCTGTCATGAGAAAATAATTCCATATGTGGAGAAGGAGAATTCTTATGCACAAAGATGGCCTTTATAACATTTATATTGGCAGAAAATGGTAACCAATAATTGAAAAACAGAATGACTAAGTGAATTTTTAAGTAACCACTAATTAAAATTTATGCAGATGTTTTTAAGATGCTCTTAAAAAATATGAAATAACTTAGAGAAATACCTTGAATATAATATTACAGGGAAAATATTTTATAGAATTTTATAATTAAAGTAATAAAGCATTAAAAACTCTGCATATTTGAGCCCTTCCAGGGTAGGGGTAAGAAAACCTATATGCATAGAAAAAGAATTGGGAAGAAGTACCAGAATGCTAGCAGTGGTTTTATATGTGGGGCCGTGGGTTTTGAAGTCGCTTTTCTTTCTTTACACTTGTTCTAAATTGGAGTTGTTTTTTGCTTTGTTTTGTTGGTGCTGGGGATTGAACTCAGGGCTTTGCACAGTCCAGGCAAGCACATTGTCACTGAACTCTACCTCTAGTACTTCTAACCCAGGTCTTTTTAAACCTCAGCACTGTTGACATTTTGGGCCAGATAATTCTTTGTTGTGATAGCCTGACTTGCATGTTATAGGATTATTTGCAGCATCCCTGACCTCTTCCAGTAGTTCATGCCTGCCACCCTTCAGAGTCATGACAACCAAAATTATCTCTAGTCATTGCTAAATGATCCCTTTGGGGAAAAAAATAGCCACCAGTTGAGAACCATAGTTCTAAAGCGGCAGTCTCAAAGTGGACAACTGACGGTCTTTAAGACTCTTTTGAGAATAGGGGAATATGAGGTCAAAACTATTTATTAAAGTTTATTGTCCTGGGGCTGGGGTTGTGGCTCAGTGGTACGTCACTTGCCTATCATTCACAAGGCACTGGGTTCGATGCCTGAACCATGTAAAAATAAAAACTAAAGGTATTATGTCCATCTACAACTAAAATAATAATAATAATAATAATAAATAAAAAAGGTTTATTGTCCTTTTTCATGTTGTTGCTATTTGCACTGGTGGCACACAAGCAAAGGTGGATAAAATTTGCTGGGGCCTTAGCAAGAAACAAGGGCACCAAACCATATCAGCACCATGAATTCTTCACTCACAGTTACAAGTAAGGGAAGTTTTGATCATGGATGTCTTTGATGAAGCAAATTATATATACTGTTGTTGTGCTTGTTCTTTTTCTCTCTCTCTTTCTTTTCCCCTGTGGTACTGGGGATTGAACCCAGGGCCTCACACATGCTAGGCAAATGCTCTAGCACTTAGCTGTATCCCTAGCTCTTTTTATTGTGAGACAGTGTCTTGCTAAATTGCTGAGGTTTGTCTCAAATTTGTGATCTTCCTGCCTCAACCTTCTGAGTTGCTGGGATTACAGGAATGCACCCCCTCACCTGGCAGTAAATATTATTTCATTACATCTCAACCCGTGAATACACATCTTTTTAATATTCTGTGTGAAGAAATAGAAATACCTATAATACATTTCAGCTGCATTCTGAAATATGATGTCTTAAGGAAGAGCACTTATATGATTGAGCTGTTAGTTTAACAGCCAGTTGTTTTATTTTTCTTGAAAAAACATTTTTACTTGAGTAACTGACAAACTGTGGTTTTATGAATATATACTCAGCAAACATTTTTTGGAAAATTAACAAAGTGAGCCTGTTAACTTCACTTTGACTATACTAGTCAAGGAAAATGACTAGTATAGTTTGTACCAATGGTAAAATTCAAACAGATAAAAATTAAGAATTTTGGAAACCTATATACACTTTCATGAGTCATTCTTTTTTTATATATTATATATTATATAGATAATATTTTATATATTATATAGATAATATTTCCCTATTTTTCTAGGGGGGGAAGGTAAGTCGCAGGGGAGGCTATGACTTTCTAGAAAGTGTAATCATTTAGGTCTCTGGGCCTGTGCTGTCTATATTAACCATAGTAGCATTGGGTCATTAGAATTAGTAGGCACATGGATTCTAGAAACCTTAAAGTAATGAATATCCATGTGTGAAGATGAAAATGAAATAAAATTTGAAATAATCAGAATTTCATTTTTTTCTGGTGTGACCCTCAATTTAAAAAAAAAATTTTTTTAGTTGCAGTTGGACATAATACCTTTATTTTATTTATTTATTTTTATGAGGTATGAGGATCGAACCCAGCCCCTTGCATGTGTGAGGCGCTGGGTTCGATCCTCAGTACCACATAAAAAAATAAACAAATAAAATAAAAAATTTAAAAAAGCCAAATGCTGAATGATTCATAGTAGGGTAAGGAGAGGTAGCATGGGAGGCATAGATGAACTCTAGATAGGGCAGAGGGATGAAAGGGGAAGGGAGGGGGCATGGGGTTAGAAATGATGGTGGAATGGATAAACATTATTATCCAAAGTACATGAAAGAAGACACGAATTGGTGTGAATATACTTTGTATACAACCAGAGATATGAAAAATTGTACTCTATATGTGTAATAGGAATTGTAATGCATTCCATTGTCATATATAAATAAAATTTGTTTAAAAAAAAAAAGAAAACTATAAAGAACACTAGATCACTCGTGTATTGAAGCCCTCTGATTTCTAGTGTGGTCTCAGAGTTTGCCCTCTTGTTCCAGGCGCCCATCAGCTGACCTCTCCTCCTTCTCAGGCAGAGTCTCTGCTCGCCATGTTTGATCCTCTGTCTTCACATGAAGGTAAACTAATGAAAGGAACTTCTGGACTCTTGTCATAGAAGAAAGAAACCAGACTCTTTTGGTAATGCCTTTATTGAATTGGTTGTGTCTTGACTGCAAAGCTTTTTTGCTGTGTTGCAGGGGCTTCTGCTGTAGTAAGGCCAAAGGTTCACTATGCCAGGCCATCACATCCACCCCCAGACCCCCCGATCCTGGAAGGAGCAGTGGGAGGAAATGAGGCCAGGTTGCCCAACTTTGGTTCCCACATGTTAACTCCAGCTGAAATGGAGGCTTTTAAGCAAAGACATTCTTACCCTGAGAGACTAGTTCGCAGCAGGAGCTCTGATATAGTATCTTCTGTCCGGAGACCCATGAGTGACCCCAGCTGGAACCGTCGTCCAGGGAATGAAGAGCGAGAACTCCCTCCAGCTGCAGCCATTGGTGCTACTTCTTTGGTGGCTGCACCTCACTCATCATCGTCGTCCCCGAGTAAGGACTCTTCAAGAGGAGAGGTATGGGAACACAGCCATGTAGAGTTTGCTGATTGTGCTCGGCTCAGAGTTCTGCCTGCCAGTTTCTCTAGATTTCTGAAATGAACATGAATATGTAACTCCCAAATTAAGGATAGACTGTAATACTCACTAAAGATGAGCTGTTAGACTAGTATGACCATTGCCACAACCCATAGGAAATCTGTATAGCTTTGGTTTTATAATAATACTATCTTGTATTTTTATAATACTTCACTTTTCTCCAGGCAGTTTTTATATCTAATTTCATTTAAAACTCACAATATCCCTCTAAGATGGCTAAATGAAGTATGATTTTTTTTTCTTGTTACTAGGGATTAAACCTAGAGGCGCTTTATCACTAAGCCACATCCCCATCCCTTTTTCTTTTTTTAATTTTTTTTAGAGAGAGAATTTTTTTACTATTTAGTTTTTAGTTTTTGGCAGACACAACATCTTTGTTTGTATGTGGTGCTGAGGATCAAACCTGGGCCGCACGCATGCCAAGCAAGCGCGCTACCGCTTGAGCCACATCCCCAGCCCTTTAATTTTTTTTTTTAATATTTGTTTTTTAGTTTTAGGTGGACACAATGTCTTTATTTTACATTTATGTGGTGCTGAGGATCAAACCCAGTGCTTCATGCATGGTAGGGAGCACTCTACCACTGAACCACAATCCCAGCCCCTTAAATATTTTTTTTTAGCTATCGGTGGACATAACTTTTATTTATTTATATATTTTTATGTGGTGCTGAGGATCAAACCCAGTACCTTGCACATGCTAGGCAAGTGCTCTACCACTGAGCCACAATCCCAGAACCCCCATCCCCCCACCCCCTTTTTTTCTTTTTAAAAAGGGTCTGGATAAGTTGCTGAGACTGGCCTTAACTTGTGATCCTCCTGCCTCAGCCTCCTGAGCTTCTGGGATTACAGATGCGCACCACCACACCTAGCAGTATGATTTTTAAATTTTGAAATAATTGTAAATTTACACAAACATTGGATGTACAACAAAAGAACACTTCTTCCCCTTTTGAGAGTAAGTTTGAAGGTAACCTGATTCTCCCTCACCTTTGAAAACTTTAGAATAAGTTTGCTACAAATAAGTACATTCTTCTACACATCATAAAACAACCATAAACATTAGGAGGTGAATGCTGATACATGACTACCATTTAATTCTCACACCCCTGTTTGTGTGATCTCCAGTTATTTGTTGTAAAAGGACCTGATTCAGAATGACACATTGCTTTTAGTTGTCATGCCTTTTTAGTTTCTTTCAATCTACAATAGTTCTTCAGTTTTTCCTTGACTTGTATGACCTTGGTCCTCTTGAAACTTACAGGCCAATTCTTTTCTAAAATGTCCCTTAGTTTGAATTTGATGTTTTCTCATAATTAGATTTAGTTTATTTATTTATTTATTTATTTTAGCAGTCTTATCGCTAAGGTGTCACTGCATTCTTTTCATTGCATCCAATTAAGGAGTACACAGTTTTAATTTGTTCCTTTGGATCATTTGTTGAAGGTGGTATCTGCCAAGGTTTACCTCTTGGAAAGTTGCTCTGTTTCCTTTGTAATGAATGAGTATTTTGGGGGAGGCACTTTGAAAAAATGTAACTATCCTATTTATAAAAATTTTAAATTTCTATACTTACGATTATATTTATGGTCTTCTGGTTCTTTCTTCTGGTCAGTGGGTTTATTAGTGTTGTTTATTTTTTAAGCCCAGTTGTCCCTATTTGGCTAGTCAGAAACCTTTCAAGCTGGTTTCAGGGTTCTTTTTCTTTTTTTGGGGGGGGGTACTGGGGATTGAACTTAGGGACACTCGACCACTGAGCCACATCCCCAGCCCTGTTTTGTATTTCATTTAGAGACAGGGTCTCACTGAGTTGCTTAGTGCCTGGCTTAATTACTGAGACTGGCTTTGAACCCGGGATCCTCCTGTCTCAACCTCCTGAGCTGCTGGGATTATAGGTGTGCACCACCATGCCCACCTCCAGGGTTCTTTTGACTTGCCTCCATCATTTTTTAAGTTTGTTTCTGTTTTTGCTTCCTGGCATGAGATGTTACAAGCTTATATTGTACTTTGACGGCTCTAGTCCTGAAATCAGTAATTTCTTCAAGGAGCCCTGGTTCTTTTTAGTGAAAAATAGTTTTTAAAAATTGAGATCAATCGGCATTCATTTCTATAGAGATGTTGCTGTTCCCTGGACCTGTCATTGGACAAAGCTCGGTAAAGGGGCGGGGGGGAGAGAATGTCTATCTATCTACTCATTTACCTGTGTGTTCATTTATCTTTTTCCTTCCATGCTTATAACTCCATTCTTCAATAGTGAGAACCCTGCTATTCTTTTTTTTTTAAATTTTTCGTTGTTGTTGTAGATGGACAGAATGCCTTTATTTTATTTGTTTATTTTATGTGTTGCTAAGGATTGAATCCAGTGCCTCACATGTGCTAGGCAGATGCTCTGCCACTGAGCTACAGCCCCAGCCCAGAACCCTGCTATTCTTATTCTTTGTTCATGTACTTATTTGATCAGTCTGCCTTATATGTATTTAATTTCCCATCACTATTGCTAACTTCTCCCTGGCACAGAGGCCCCTATCTCTCTGCTTAGGGTCTGATTCTCTATTCACATAGATGCCCTTGGAGAAGGTATTTTCAACCCCAGTTTTAAAGGTGAGGAAAGAAATTTAAGAGATTTGTCTGAGGTCACACCATAGGCTAGTGAAGGAATTATAGTCCTTTCTCTTTGACATGACAAAGTTAAATATAACTCTGTATAATGGTGATCAGAACCAGGACTTTTTTGATGGGTGGGGAGCATACCAGGGATTGAATTAAGGGGTGCTTTACCATTAACTACATCCCCAGTCTTTCTTTTAAATTTTGAGCCAGGCTCAGTGGTGCACACCTATAATCCCAGGACTGGGAATGCTGAGGCAGAAGGATCACAAGTTCAAGGCCAGCCTCAGCAACTCAGGTCCTAAGAAATTTAGTGAGACCATTGTCTCAAAAAAATGAAAAGAGCTGGGGTTGTAGCTCAGTGGCAGAGCATCCCTGGTTCAATTCCCAGCACCAAAAATACATAAATAAAATTTGAGACAGGGTCTCATTAAGTTAAGACTGGACTTGAACTTGAGATCCTCCTGCCTCTGTCTCAGCCTCCTGAGTTGCTGGGATTACAGGCATGCACTACCATGTCCAGCTCAAATCTGGATTTTTTTTGAAGTTCGTTAATTCTAAGTTTGAGTCTTAGCTGTCCTCATGCAGGGTGTATAAGTTGGGGAAGATAGAGAGATAATCTCATTTAGCTATGTATTTCTTATCTATAAAAAGCCCTAATAATACGGCCTGTCTCTAAGACTACTGTGAGGATTAAATGAGATAATATCTATTTTTTTGCACACAGTTCACACCTGGTTTTATTATTAATACTATTACTTCCACCATCTCTACTACCCCTCTAGAGTTTATTTAAGCTGTGTTTACTTATCCATCAGTTTTTTTTGTTGTTGTTGTTGTTTATTGTGTGTGTGTGTGTGTGTGTGTGTTGCCAGGGATTGAATCCAGAGTCTCACACATGCAAAGTATATATTCTACCACTGAGCCACATTCCCAGCCCTCCATAAGTATTTTTGGAGTTCTTACTCTATATCAGGCTCTTCCTTAAGCTTCTAGTTAACTAACAGTAATGAGATAAACCTCTCTCAAGCAGATCACAGTCTAGTGCTTGAGAGGTAATTTCCATGTTCCAGAATTTACCTACATGGCAATACGAACAGTTTTGCTTTAAGGCACATAGGCCTGGTGTTTGTATTTCATAGACTTTCTGAAATCTTTTTCATGGTAACTTATCCATAGTTATCAACACCAAATAAAATATTACACTTTTTCTGCAGATTGAAGAACGCAAAGATAGTGATGACGAGAAGTCAGACAGGAACAGACCTTGGTGGAGAAAACGTTTTGTTTCAGCCATGCCTAAAGGTAATATTATAAAATTTTAGAATACTGAATTAGCAACAAGAAACAAAACCCCAAAATCTCTCTTGGAGAGCCAATATCTCAACTCCTCTGTGGGGCTTCATGGGCCTAAGTTTCTAGCTGTTTTGAGAGTGTAGGAAATGGGWTCACTCAGAAGAATGCTAAGGCAGAGATTAGAAATATTCTTTGCAGGAAAATGGTAGTGGTTTCATAAATGGAAATCATGCTGGTCATATATCGTTGAAGTTAAACATGTTGGACTGTTGACAAATGTATTGCTATCATTTATTGCAGGAAAATGGATGCCATTGGTAATYTAATATTGAAAATTCATCTTTTGTAGTCCTGGAACAAATTTAAGCTTTTTATGTCTGTGTTCATTGAAAATGCTTATACCCTAAGTATTATGCAGTGTTTATTTTGGAAGGTAGTTGTATAATATTGTTTTTCTTCTTCTTTTTTTTTTTTGTGTGTGAATATCCTGGCATCATTTGAGTTGGCAAAAAAAAACTCTCTTCTTGAAAGGAGAGATCAGCAGCAGCTAGGAACCTCTTCCACAGGCCTCTCCCAGTGCTGTGGCACCTAGGCACTGAGGAGAGCTGCTTCCATGCCATACTCAAGCCCACTTGGTGGGGAGGAAAGAACGAAGCAAGAGTTTTTGACTGTGCTGATTTGCAGAGAGGTTAAGAGGCAGTGGTTTTGATCTAATCCCCATGATCCCGCCTAAATTATTCTTCTTATGGTGGATGACTCTAGGCAGATTCTGAAAGCTTCTTTAAGAACCTTCAGGGCTATTTTTAAAGAATGATTATCAGTCAACGCTTGGGAATTTTTTAGCTTTTAAACTTTTCCTCCTCCTTTCACTTAGAAATGTTGGCACACCAGTTAACTTCCAAGTAGTGCAGTATGTTATATGTCACACTACTGACTTTATTTAATTTCCAGCTCCTATACCATTTAGAAAGAAAGAAAAACAAGAAAAAGACAAAGATGATCTGGGGCCTGACAGATTCTCAACACTCACAGGTTTGTAGACCCATGGACTTCCTGGCTCCTTCATTCCCAGAGCACATATTTCATAACACTTTTTCTTGGGTGCCATAGTGTTGCCTTTTTAGAAGAGTGTGTCTGTGTGTGCACGGTGGGGAGTGTGTTCTTCATAGCCCTGTGGTTTCCAGTTGGTGGCCACAGTGAATCTCAGTGTGCTCTTCCTGCAGACCGCCACCACCATCCTCATCCTCATTGTCATAACTTACGTTTATGACGAGGGCCCTGATCCTGAGCCTCTGGGCACCCTCCACAGCTCGCCGTCTAGTGGGTTGATGGCACAGTGCCTACGGGAGAGTGGTGACAATTGTACTGTGCATACCAGACCTTTAGATCATTGATTGAGTAATTTTCTCTAACAATGATCATAGAATTCTAAATTTATTTCCATCTACAGTTTGTTCTTGTCTATTCAGGAGCACAGTGAAATTCTCTTTTACCTAATCATTTCCTTTTTTTTTCCCCCCATAATAAAGTGTTCAAACAGTATCATAAATGCCAACTATTATAATAAAAGATTTAAAACTTTACTAATTTTTTACAGCTTGAGCCATTCTAACATTGCTATCTGACCCAAGAAAAATACAACTAGGGATTGGGTTTTTACTGTATCCAGCATTTGTATTCCTGCACCTTTTTGTTGGCCCATTATAAATAAGTACCCTAAAAGAAAAGAGTTTGAGAGGTAGTATTAATGACCCAACCTTGAATTTGATAACTAGGTATTGTTTCCTAAATGTTATAGAGCACCTAGAAGGAAGTTCATTTCTCACCTCTTTTTTTCCCCTAATTTTAATTTTAAAATAAGTTATCCTACTGTCCTACTATAGTTTAAATGAAGATTTTTTTTTAAAATTTTTATTTATTTTTTGTGGCACTGGGGATTGAACCCAGGGGTGCTCTACCATTGAGCTACATCTCTATCCCTTTCTACTTTTTTATTTTGAAATACGGTCTCGTTAAGTTGCTGAACTTGTTTTCCTCCTGCCTCAGCCTTCCACATAGCTGGGATCACATGTTTGCTTTGGTGCCCAGTATAAAATGAAGATTTATAATTAAAAAATGGGATAAAGCTCAAAAGAACATCCTCCTCAAAGAGATCAATATGGTACAGGTAGCATCCCATTTTGATGCTTATAGTTCTAGTACCTAGTTTTATATATTTAGCTATATCTCCATGTCCAGCATAGCAAATAAAGCATACCTGTTTTATTGGATATGGTGACTTCCCTGTAAGAAAAGGTGTTCAGGCCACAGTTCCCTGTTGAGAGCAGCCCAGCTTGTCTTATTTAATCAGCAAATACTTGTTGATCATCTGACTCATGCCAGGCACTGTGTTACATGTTGTGGGTATTCAGTCAAATTGCATAGGACCCTGGTTCATAGGCACTTGTCAGTCTGGTTGGAAAGAGAAAGAGATTGTCTCTTTGGCAAGGTATTTATGTACGTTTTCCATTTCCTAGTTCTTAGTGTTAGAAGAACACTAGTACATACAAACTGAACTATTTTGGGTAAAATTACTTTAATATTTAATTTTTAAAATTAATAACTTTGGTGTAGCTCAGTGGTGGAGCACTTGCCTAGCATGTGCAAGGCCCTGGGTGCAAAAATAATTAATAACTGGTGAAATTATAAATTATTGGGCCTTTTGGCAATATGTTTTTTTGTTTTTTTTAAAGAGAGAGTGAGAGAGGAGAGAGAGAGAGAGAGAGAATTTTTAATATTTATTTTTTAGTTCTCGGCGGACACAACATCTTTGTTGGTATGTGGTGCTGAGGATCGAACCCGGGTCGCACGCATGCCAGGCGAGCGCGCTACCGCTTGAGCCACATCCCCAGCCCTGGCAATATGTTTTTAATTCTTGGTATTGATACTAGAAACTAAGTAGGTAGAATAAGTGTTTTTTTTTTTTTTTGTTTATTTGTTTTTTTAAATATAGTGATTCATTTTCTTTAGGTTCAACTCAAGTAGTTAAGCTTCCCTGTGGGTGTAAAAATTTCTACCTAGTCCTGCCAGGCGCAGTAGCACATACCTCTAATCCCAGTGGCTCGGGAGGCTGAGACAGAAGTTAAGACAGGCTGAATCACAAGTTCAAAGCCAGCCTCAGCAATGGTGAGGCACTAAGCAACTCAGTGAGACCCTGTCTCTAAATAAAATACAAAATAGGACTGGGGATGTGGCTCAGTGGCCAAGTGCCCCTGAGTTCAGTCCCCAGTAACCCCCCCCCCAAATTTTTACCCAGTCTTAATTAATGACCCATTGAAAGTTATTAAATTAATTACAAATCTTACAAAAGGACATTTCTCAACAAATCTGGCAGTAATCCTGCTACCCTAAATACTATTTTTCTCATATTCTCTTCCAATGTTTTTTCTGTGTTTGTACATAGTAGCTTTTTTTATGATTGAATTAGATTATATTTGAAACTTTGTATTCTTTCACCACATGACATTTTATGAACTCTCAATTTCTACCAGATCTAGTTGGCTTTTGAATCATTTTTATTGACTATAAAATAATCTGATTTTACTATAGTAAAACATTCTCTATTGGATATTTAAATATTTTCCAGTTTTTAGCCATGAAAATCATCCTTACTGCTTTGTATACATAGCATTTTTGTTTTAATTATTTTCCTGGGTTAAAAATTTTAAGAATGGTGTTAATAGAAACATAGGTTATAACAACATGGTTATGGTTCTTACTATGTGTAGCAAAATCACGTTGTCCCTTTTTCAGAGCCTTTCTTAGCACTCAAAAGCTATCAGCAAAAAAGTATTCCCCCTCCAAAACAAGATTCTGTAATGGTAAAGGTTCTATCAATTGACATTTTTAGAAAGATGAACTTTTATTAGGGATCTCATCATGAAATTAAATATGATTAAATTACTTTGGAAATTCTTTTTCTATATAGTTGAATATAATTCTACAGAGACAGGAACACCAAATTATTGTTTCATGGAAACAAAAGAAGAAGCTATGAACATGCTGCTTCACTTCTGTGCCTTGATTTGCTCTGCTGTAAAATGGGGTGATAATAGTGCCTCTTTATAAGATTGTTTGATGATTAATTGAGATAGCCCACCTAAGGTGCTTAGTGCAGTTTCTGGCACATGGTAAACACTCAATAAATGTTAGCTTCTGCTAATATTAGCTACCTACCTATCTCTCTCTCTCTCTCTCTCTCTCTCTCTCTCTCTATTGCTGGGAATTGAACTTAGGGCTTTGTACATGCTGAGCAAGCATTCTTCCACTGAGCTACACCCTCAGCCTTTTAGCCACTATTAATATGCATATGTATAAAATCTAATGATTTTGATATGATTTTAGAATTTCTTAGTAAAAGTAGGATTCTGCCAGTTGCAGTGGCACAACTTAGGTCCTAAGTAACTTAGTAAGACTTTGTCTCAACATAAAAAATAAAATAGGCTGGGGATGTGGCTCATTGGTTAAGCAATCCTGGGTTCAATCCCCAAAACCAAAAATAAATAAAATGGGATTCTCCCAAAACCAAAAATAAATAAAATGGGATTCTAACTAAATGTTGGTATGGTTGATTATCTATTGGCCTAGCTCTATCCCAGGCGTTTGTACTTTACCATGAGACTTTATTTTATCCTGTAGATCATAGCAGTTCTTTGCTTTGACAGCCCAGTCAATTAATGAATAACTTCTAATACTCCAAGATAACACTTTTGATGTGCTGATTTTTTTTTTTTTTTTTTTTTGTCAGCCTAACTGTTCTATAGGTAAACAAAGCTGTGGTTTTGTGGGTATGTTAAGTTTTTCTCAGAGCATTCAGGTACCATTCCAGCACTCTCTCAGGATGTCTAGATTCTCTGAGTGTTGCTGACCATGGTATGAACAAAAGTGCTGTGTGCCAGCAGTTGCACTATCGTGGTGAGATTAGTGAGATAGTATATGAATATCTGTAACTTTCAGATGTGGTGTAGAAAGGAATTAATTCATGAAGAAAGAATAGAGAAAGGCACATCTCATCATTAAAAAGAGTTTAAGTTTAAATAGTTCTTTTTTGTTCATCATAGAGATATTTGATTAAATGAAGTCTGCATATAAAAGTGCATCTTTGGAAGTTTTGTTAGCATGAATTGCCATTAACAGTGATTTCAGTGTAAGCCCTTTAGAAACCTGTTATCCATTCAGTCTGCACTGAAGTTTGTCACTGTCATGCAGAATTCTGGTGATGATGAGAAGGTGGAGTGACTCCTCCCAATTTTCTGCTTTGACAAGGCTCTTAGACCTAGAAATGGGATGAGCAGGCAGCTGCATGGTACCTCTTAACATTGAGATATGTGCTCTTTTTAAGTCTGACCTCCTAATCTGCCTTTGGGATGTGCTACTGGTGTCATTACTAACATCATCGTTAGTACAAACCCAAGGAACTAATTCTCTCACCTTCCTTTCCCCTGCAGATGATCCCAGCCCTAGGCTCACTGCACAAGCTCAGGTTGCTGAGGATATTCTGGACAAATACCGGAATGCCATTAAACGGACCAGCCCCAGTGAAGGAGCAATGGCAAACTATGAAAATGCAGGTGATAATCATGATAAAGATTTGAACAGTCATTTTTACCATAGTAATAAAGATAAATCTTTTAAGTACCCTTTAAAAAATAGCTAGAGAATCAATATACTATTTTAAAATTACAAACTTGATAAAATTGATGTCCCTCTCTGTACTCTCCCACTAAGCCTGGGCAGGTGCAGATGTTCAGATGCCTGAGTCATCATCCCATGAATCCTGGAGTCACTGCCCAGAGTGACTGGTACATGCTTTAGCAGGAGGGAGGAGATTATTTTACAACTGCCTATAGAACTGTAATTTCATACAGTTATCTCTCTTCAGGTAGCTGACGCAGCACTCTCTTAGGTTATCCATTGTTGCTTGGTTCTTATTTTTTAAATGATTATGTTTTTCTCACAGTAGAATATTGAATAATTTGTCAGAAAAATATGACACAGTCCTCAAGATAAATTAAAGGAAAACAAAAGTGTATGAAAGCTTAAGTAGTGTCTGCATCCATTTATGCTTATGTGTGCTAGGAGTATCTTCTAGAAGAATCTCCAGGAAACTGGGAATATGAATTAGCTCTGAGAAAGACTATAGGGGCCTGAGAGGGAGTCATGGGAAAAGAGAATTTCCACTTTTCTATTCTGAACGTTCGTATATCTTCTATGTAAACATTACAATTATTAACATTTTTTCTATATGTTTTTCCATTTTTTCCTGAAGCATTTGAAATTTTCTCTGAATAATAAGAATGTTTTCCTATAAAAACACAGAATCTTCCTTATATTCAGGAATTTTTTTATTCCCTTTGATTTTATGTTGTTTTATGTATGTTTATGTTCTATTTTTTTAACTTTTCTTTTAATATTTATTTTTCTTTTTAGTTGTAGTTGGACACAATACCTTTGTTTTTATTTATTTATTTTTATGTGGTGCCAGGGCCCCACATGAGCTAGGTGAGCTCTCTACCGCTGAGCCACAACCCCAGCCCCTATATTTCTATTTTTTAAAAATTTTTTTAGATGTGGATGGACCTTTATTTTATTCATTTATTTATATGAAGTGCTGAGAATTGAACCCAGTGCCTCACACATGCTAGGCAAGTGCTCTAGCATTGAGCCACAACTCCAGCACCTGTTTATCTGTATTCTTGATTGACTAATTAAAAACACAACAGGTAGAGGGACCCACAGATCTGGCTTTTCTGTGGTAGTCCTCTTGCTCTTTGTTGGGTGTGGTGAGAGGGCTGTGGGGGAAAGGTCTGGAAATCCATGTGCTTGGTCCACCTCAGCCATTGTGCAACAAAGGGATGTAGAACCAGCAATTTTTTTTGACTGGGAAGGAGTCCATGTCTCTAAAGTGAATTATTATGTAAAATGACTTTTGAAGATTTTGAGTTTTGTGGTTCAGTGATTTTGATTATGGAATATTAACTTTATTAATTCAGACTTTCACTGTTTTGGATTAGGATTGTGATAAGAATTTAAAACCATGGCTAAGGCTGTAGCTCAGTGGTAGAGCGCTTGCATGAGGCACTGGGTTCTATCCTCAGCACCACATAAAAAATAAATAAAGATAATTGTTACTTTGTATAGAACCAGAGATATGAAAAAAAAATTGTGCTCTATATATGTAATATGAATTGTAATGTCATATATAACAAATTAGAATAAAAAAATAAAAAAAAAAGATAAGTGTTCCCATCTACAACTAAATAAAAAAAAGAATTAAAACCATTCCCAGCATCTGCTCTCATGATACATTATTGTTCCTTTAACCATTTGGTCAAATGTTTTGAGTTTTTTCTTCTTTCTATTTTATCTTCTGAAGAACTCTTACTCTAAGATATTACTAATTTAGGATTGAGTTGCTCTGAATTACCTACTAGTACCAATACCAGAATATTACAAATTAATATAACTATTCTTTTCTCGGTGATGGGTTTTGGTATCCAGAGGTCATGGGTGATGGTGAAAGTGCTCATGATTCTCCTCGGGATGAAACACTACAGAACATCTCAGCTGATGATCTCCCAGACTCTGCGAGCCAAGCAGCCCACCCTCAGGATTCAGCTTTTTCTTATAGGTATTTCTTTTGTAGTATTTGGGACTTTGGGGTTTGGGCTTTTAATCATTATTGCAGTCAATTCAAATGATTCATTAATTCATTTTAATAATACATTTATGAAACAGATAAGAATGAAATAGTTACTGAGAAGACTTGCTTCAGTTCTGGATGTCATGTATCAAAGACAATAATTCAGAGATTTAAAAAAAAAAGACTCATATGCCCACATAAAACACATAAGCAAACAAAACAAGTTGCAGTGCTCCTGCCTGTGCAAAGCTATGAGTGTGTGTGGCACACATCAGGAGAGGGCATGGGTAGTTTGGAATCGCCCTGCACACAGTGATAGAGTAACTCACTGTCTCAGTAAACCTCTCTTTTTGTCATCATCCTCATTATGTGGGCAGGCCTCTATTTCTAATAGGGCTTGAGAAAGAAAATGACTTCAGGGTTCTTTGATAGCAATCCTCAGACAAGAAGCCTCAGCTTTAAAGCACTAGTTATCCCTTGTGGAATTGCAAAGTCCGGTGTCCTGTGTCTCCCTCACCCTCACCCCCACCCCCACCCCCACCTCTCTCTCTTTTACATTTTTTTTTTTTTTTTTTGATACTGGGGATTGAACTCAGGGATGCATTGAGACAGGTTCTCACTAAGTTTAAGTTGCTGAAGCTGGCCTTGCACCTGTGATCCCCCTGCCTTATTCTCCTGATTTGCTAGGATTACAAATGTATGACACTGCACTTGGCTTAAATTTTTATTCCAGAAATTTTCAAATAGATACAATGATGTACCCATTATCCAGATCCAACAGTTACCAACACATAACCAGTATTATTCCATATTTACCTCCTCCCAGTTATTTTAAGGAAACTCTTCCTTAAAATAATATATATTATTATATTTATATATTAAAATAATATATTATTATATTTTTGCAAAAATATTTGTAAATAAAATTTGCTACTGGGTTCAGTGGCAGACACCTATAATCCCAGCAGCTCAGAAGGCTGAGGCAAGAGGATCTCAAGTTCAAAGCCAGCCCCAGCAACTTAGTGAGGCCCTAAGCAACTTAGTGAGAATCTGTCTCAAAATTTAAAAAATTAAAAGGACTGAGAATGCGGCTCAGTGGTTAAGTGCCCCTGGATTTAATCTGTAGTACCAAAAAAACCAAAAAACAAAAAAACAAAAAACCGATCTTTTTGGAACTTTCCATATTTTTTTCCTACAGTATAATTGGGGGAATAGCAGATAGAATTACCTTCCAGCATGACTTACTTTCTAAAACTCATCAAGTGACTTTACCATTATGTATTTTATAATATTTTTGGCAAATGAGGTGAATGTTACCTCATCTTGATATCTACATTTCTCATTTTATAGGAAGAAATCCAGTAGAGAAAGACTCAGAGCTAGCATGAGGTGGACAAGTGACATCCTACAGAGGAGGCACACTCTCTGGCCTTTCTCTAAGGTGTTCAAATTCCTTTATCTAGATARCAGATTTGATTATTCTGAAGACATTCTGGTCTGTGACCCACAGGACCAGAAAAGACCATAGGCACTAACAAATAAGAGAGCCTCAATACTTCCCCGTTAGGGAGAGCTGCATTGCTGTGGAGGGTAGCCCCTAGCTGAGGAGGGCTCAGCTACTGGGTGGAAGTAGGTGGTTCAGCATTTGGAAGTTAAGAGGAATCCAATACAAAAACTCTCAAGCAACAGAGCAATAAAAAGGGTTTCTTGTCAGTAGGCAAGTTTATATTGTGGCAGGACCAGAATTTTTCAAGAGATGCAATAGAAGGTGTTCTTGTGTGAGTACTGGGGTGAGCTGGCAACCTCTCTGGCACATATGCTGTCTGGTTCTCCTGAGTTCCTGATGTAAAACTTAGCATGTGATGGAAGGTCAGAAAAGGTTTGTTTGACTGATTCAGGTGACCCTATGGAGAGGTCCTTGCCCAGAGCACTTTTRTAACCTTGTTCTTCAGGTAATTAGAAGTGTGTTCTTTCAAGCGAGAGTGAGATGTAAGTTAAAATTATTTTTTTAGGGGGCTGGGCGTTTAGCTCAGTTGGTAGAGTGCTTGCCTCCTGTGCCCAAGGCCCTGGGCTAAATCCCCAGCACCACCACCCCCTCAAAAATATATATATAAATGTGTGTGTGTGTGGGATTGTATTGGATTCCTCTTAACTTCCACACACTTGTGGGGCTGGGGTTGTGGCTCAGTGATAGAGCATTCACCTAGCACATGTGAGGCACTGGGTTCAATCCTCAGCACCACATAAAAATAAACAAAATAAACATTTGAAATATTTGAATCCTGAAGTAGCATATTTATTCATAAAGTAAATTAAAAAATTTTTCGGCTGTAGATGGACATAATACCTTTATTTTGTTTATTTTTGTGTGGTGCCAGGATTGCATGCTCAGGAAGTGCTCTACCACTGAGCCACAATCCCAGCCCTCATACAGTAAATATTTACAAAATATGATCATTTCTGGGTGAGGAGTTAGCTCAGTAGTAGAGCACATGCTTAGTATGTACAAGGCCCTGGGTTTGATTCCTAGCACCACAAAAAAGAGAAGTGACCATTCTGGACAAAGAAATTAATGTGTTTTGTACCCATTATTCAGAGATGCGAAAAAGAAACTGAGGCTTGCTCTTTGCTCTGCGGACTCTGTTGCCTTCCCAGTGTTAACCCATTCAACAAGAAACGGATTACCAGACCATACAGACCCAGAAGGCAAGTTGGTGCTGGATAGTTTAGTTTCTTCTGTATTTACAGCTTGAACCAATGAAATTGCCAGTATTTCACTCTTTGGCTGTATTAATATTCCATGGTTCAACTTAACACATTTGTTTTCATGTCACTTAAGGGCACTTTGATTACTGATAGTTTATCAATTTTTTTTTTTTTTCTAAATGGCAGTGGCACTACTGCTTAATTTTGGTGATAAATGGTACAGTAGAATTAATGTCCCGAATGCCGGGGACAGTGTATATATAAGCTTATATAAACCCATGGAAATTCTTATAGTAATGTAATTCTCATTTTTTTATTTAGACAATGAAATTGTATGCTTCTTAAAAGTTCAGATAGCTGAAGCAATTAATTTACAAGATAAGAACTTAATGGCTCAACTTCAAGAAACAATGCGTTGTGTATGCCGTTTTGATAATAGGACATGTAGGAAACTGCTGGCATCCATTGCTGAGGACTACAGGTAACATACCCAACCCATTCAACAGACCTTCTCAGCAGCAAGTGTTTTCTTTTTAGTCCTTGTTTCACAAACCAGTCTAGGCCTACTACCAAGTGCATGTCTATGTTTACCTGGATATAGATTTCTAAGCTACGCACTCCAGAAATGTAGTTACAAATGAGCAGCTCTTCCTAATAGAGAAGTGCAGTTTATGTCAGCTTTGCACAAAAACAGTAAAGAGGTTTGTCTAGATTGTGAGGCTAGGATAACTAGTTTATTACTTTCCTTTTTAAGGGACATTAGTAAATACTACTTTAGTGGACTAGAGAAGTGGTAGTAGATTTTTTTTGGCTGCCAGCTGATGGTTATGGGGAAGAGTGTAACTGAGATGCACGGGCAGTGTGGAGGCCTCATGTCCTAGTAGACAAGCTCCACATTAACACCATAAGCAAATAGCTGGTGGGGAGTGTTTAATGAACTAGTTTGTATAGCTTGTATTTTGTTGTTATTTTTAATCATCACCATTTTCTTTTTTGTATGGGGGGGGTGATGGTTGGGGATTGAACTACTTCTGGGCTGTATCTCCAGCTATTTTTTTTAAATTTTTATTTTGAGATAGGATTTCACTATGTTGCTCAGGCTGGCCTCAAACTTGTAATCCTCCTACCTCAGCCTCCCAAGTGAGCTGGGATTATAAGTGTATAACACCATGCCCAACTTATTTTCAATTTTCTGTAACTGTTCATTTCCTGTTAAGTAGGAGGTGCTACTAGTGGGGAGACCGTGCTCCAGTATAAAATAGACCTAGAATCTGAAGAGCCTTAGTAATATTCACTGAGTTAGGGAGCTAAACATTCAGTTCAAAAGATACTGTTCATCACAGACATGCACAATTTATGCTGCCAGCTCAAGAAAAACAGGATTCTGTTTCTTGAGCTGGCAGCATAAATATTCCCCAGTACATTTGTCTGTAGCCTCACATGCCAATTTGTAAAGCCAAAGTTTATGAAGTGAAAAAAATTGGAACTCTTAGTCATAAAAAAAAAACAGTAAGCACTGTACATATCTGATGTCCTGCAAAGCATTTTTCCTTTTAGGAAAAGAGCCCCATATATCGCTTACCTCACTCGCTGTCGACAAGGACTGCAGACTACGCAGGCTCACCTGGAGAGGCTCTTGCAAAGGGTTTTACGGGACAAAGAGGTAGCCAATCGATATTTTACCACTGTCTGTGTGAGGTTACTGCTTGAGAGCAAAGAAAAGAAGATCAGGGAATTCATTCAAGGTAACTACTGTTAGAAGAAGCATGTCTTCAACCATTTATTATTAGGAAGATTGGGAAAATTTGTTTTGTTTTGTTTGCTAGCTTGTGTAAGTACCTGCATGCTTTAGACCAGCTCCTTAAATACCCAGTTAGTTTGTGGATTCTTTTTTTTTTTTTTGATGGTGTTGGGGCTTGAACCCAGGACCTTGTGCTTGTGAGGTAAGCACTCTACCAACTGAACTATATCCCCAGCCCCTGTGGATTCTTAATAATTACACTTTGATATCAAATCTCTAAATTTCTTTTTCTCCTGGATTGAATATCAGTTTATTTAAAAAATTGGGGAAGTTGGTAAAACTTTGGATTCACACAATTTTTCTCATTTTTACAAACAACATATTTTTAAACAAACTCATTGGCACATAAATATTTAGGTATTTCTTACTCTTTCCTGATTTTAATGACTTGGCTGTGTATTGTCCTAAAATAAACCACTCCAAAACCTTTAGGCTTTAATGTCTGTATCACTAGCAATTAAAATGATTTTAGGGGGCTGGGGATGTGGCTCAAGCGGTAGCGCGCTCGCCTGGCATGCGTGCGGCCCGGGTTCGATCCTCAGCACCACATACCAACAAAGATGTTGTGTCCACCGAGAACTAAAAAATAAATAATAAAAATTCTCTCT